TGCCTTTTGTGGGCCACCCGAGGGAAAAAATTTACAGCCGGAAGGAACCATTATATTACAACGTAGCATTCCTGTTGTGGGCCATTCGAAGGTGAAATTTAGAATAGGAAGGAGCCATTACAACGCAGCATTAGTTCGAATTCGACTTCGAATCGACGACAATTTTGACACCAGGGGGGGGACCAGTTCGAGTTCGAGTTCGAATCGACGACAGCGATTTTGGAGTTCGACTCTTTCTATATTCGTCCACTGGGTTGACTTCTAACAGTTCCAGTTCGAGTTCGAGATCGAGTTCGAGTTCGAGTTCGGTTCCTTCCATATATCCTTTCAAGGTTACGTTCATCAATACTGTAACTGTTTCAGTTCGAGTTCGAGTTCGAGTTCGAGCGGGGCACACTATGAGTGTCCTGGCAACAGCTAACAACAGGGATGCCCTTTGTTACTAGTAGCGATGCCATTGTTCCTAGTAGCTTCTTGTTCCTAGTAGTAACGCCAGGAGCCTCTAGTAGCGTCCTTGCTCCCAATAGCGATGCCCTCTGTTCCTAGCAGCTTCTTTTTCGTATTAGTCAGGCCAGGAGCCCCTAGTAGGGTGACTGCTCCTAGTAGCGATTCCCTTTGTTCCTAGTAGCTTCTTGTTCCTAGTAGTAAGGCCAGGAGGCCCTAGTAGCGTCCTTGCTCCTAGTAGCGATGCCCTTTGTTCCCAGTAGCTTCTGGTTCCTAGTAGCAAGGCCAGGAGCCCCTAGTAGCGTGATTGCTCCTAGTAGCGATGCCCTTTGTTCCCAGTAGCTGCTTGTTCCTAGTAGTAAGGCCAGGAGGCCCTAGTACTTGCTCCTAGTAGCGATGCCCTTTGTTCCCAGTAGCTTCATCTTCCTAGTAGCAAGACCAACAGCCCCTAGTAGTATCCTGGCTCCTGGTAGCAATGCCATTGTTCCTAGCAGCTTCTTGTTCCTAGAAGTCAGGCCAGAAGCCCCTAGTAGCGTGATTGCTCCTAGTAGCGATGCCCTTTGTTCGTAGTAGCTTCTTGTTCCTAGTAGTAAGGCCAGGAGCCCCTAGTAGCATCCTTGCTCCTGGTAGCAATGCCCTTTTGTCCTAGTTGCTTCTCGTTCCTAGTAGTAAGTAGTAAGACCAGGAGCCCCTAGTAGCGTCCATGCGCTCCTAGTAGCGATGCCCTTTGTTACTAGTAGCTTCTTGTTCCTAGTGGTAAGGGCAGGAGCTCCTAGTGGCGTCCTTGCTCCTAGTAGCGATGCCCTTTGTTCCTAGTGGCTTCTTGTTCCTAGTAGTATGGCCAGGAGCCCCTAGTAGCGTCCTTGCTCCTAGTCTTACGTGTAAGGCCAGGAGCCCCTAGTAGCGTCCTTGCTCCTAGTAGCTATGCCTCTTGTTACTAGTAGCTTCTTGTTCCTAGTAATAAAGCCAGGAGCCCCTAGTAGCATCCTTGCTCCTAGTAGCGATGCCCTTTGTTACTAGTAGCTTGTACATATATATATATATATATATTAGGTAGCCTTTTGTTTGGAAAGAAAGCAGCTGCACTGGCTGGGCACCAAGAAACACTTCGGAGGATCGGTCTTTCCTACGTCCACTTTGCAAGGACCAGCCGATCACAACACTACACCAACAAACAGATTACCAAGACTAAGACGTCACCAAACCAGCCAAAGGCTCGAAGATTGCTGCAATACCTTGCCCTCCAATCTTGAAGTCCGCAAAGTACTGTACATCCTGGCTGCTTGTCTGACATGCACTCACGCAATTCGCCCGTCGCCCCTCAAATCCCTTGAAGACTTCAGTCATGCCCATGCAAGACATGTTCCCCTTCCAACTTGCCATGCAAACTGGACTCCAAGGCGATCGCTGCGGAATGACCCTTCACTCCGGAACACTCCAAGGCGTCCGGAGGCACTCCTCATGGTTGTGCAGGGTCTGTCGGAAGGGCTTCGTGGGCCTCGGAGCGCTGTCTGCAACGCGACGTGTTGGCCTCTGGCATTGGCCCTTTGAGGCCGAGCAGCGAGGCCCTTCAAAGCCGCCTCGCCTCGCACGCCAAGGCCAGGGTGGCCAAGGCCTCGGAGCTGCTCCGTCAGGGTCTTCAGAAAGCTGTGTACTTGGTGCAGTCTAAAGGGTGTGGGATGGGAAAGAATGAAAGAATGGCTTTCAGAAAAGAGCGATGACACCCTATGAACCCTATCGCCTCGCAATCCACAGGAGCGTTGTCCATGCGGGGGTGTTGTTGGTTGTGGGTGGTGATCAGTCTCGCTAAACAGGACTCATGAGATCCTTCACATTGCGCAGCGAATCGCACGAAACTTGTATCTCGAAATTGTACGGTGAGCATCACGTGCAAAGAAAGAAGCCGCAATTCTTACCAACACAATCCAATACTACGTACAATCCAAGCTTGTTGAATCAAATGAAGTGGTGAGAAAGCCTGAAGCCCCTACGGCCACAAAATGTGTAGCATTGTAGCCCAAGGTGGCAAGCAACAACGCTGTGCAGCACCCTTTTCAGCCCTCGTCTCTTCTTTCCACCTCGGCCCATGTGGCCGAGTTGGAAGTTGACAGCTCTCACATGTTCACGGCGCCTGCATCCAAAGCCGCAAATGCAGAACCCCCGAAATCATCCAAAGTACACTTCAATGGACACTCAGAAGTGACGAAGTTGCGAAGAACAATCCACGTCTGGGCCACTCATGGCACTCACTCAAAGTCTGGATCCAGTACATGCAAGCAGAGGCACAAACCTTTTAAGCAGGCACGACAGCCTTCTTCTTGAGAATACACAGGCCATCCTCTTTGAGGATTCCTCAAACTGGATTGCTGTTGAACCTCCGTTACTGAAGCATGACGAATGTGGCAAAGTGGCTGGCTAGACTCTCAAATCATCCAATTTGGAAATGGGCAACAGCTATGTGAGTCACATCCCATCCTTCCTTGTCTGTACATATCTCTTCTCGCCAACACATCTCCATCAGCCACCAGACGGCAGGTTTTCAATGCTGCTGTCAACACGTTTGATGCAATAGTCCGAATCAGAATCGCCCTGAGCTGGTCCCACATCACTTGCTCAAAGGCCATTTTGCTTGACTTAACTAGTATGATACACATCTTCCTCTTCTTTGTCCCTAACAGCCAGAGGCTCCCTTGGCCGCTGTGCTCGCCGCAGCTGCCGCCAAGTACAGCGCAGGGCAAGGAGTGCGCCAATGCAACAAATCATGGCACCGCGCCGAAAGAGTCTTGCTCGTGGGGCATCGCCTGAAACAAGATCCGTGTCGAGCGTGACAAACTCAATGTGTCATAAATTCCCATGCTTCCAATATCCACTCTGAAACCCCTCCACTCTGCGTACCCCAGAGTGGAATGTAAGACAGCCTCTGGCTTGCGCACGCTTTCCCCAGATCCTCACCCTAAAACTCGCCGCACCTTCAAGCAGGGCAACCTTTGACATGTCAAAAAGACCGATAGCCATCAGGCTTGCAAACACCCAATCCTCAGATGCGGCACTTCAATGCTGATGCTTTCATATCTGTGGCATCCGTTCTTCACAAGCTTTGGGCAGAAATATGTGCAGATTAAGCTGCATACTTTGTGAAAACAGCCAGGCCTGCTGCTGCCCCCAAACCTCGAACCACGGCCAAGGGAGTGAGCGATAGTGCACTGCCATCCTTGGCAAAGGCCTGCGCCTGATGGCAGCGGCACACGATCAGAGTGAAAGTCGCTAGTAGGTTGGAGGCCATCGCTACTAGACTCTCTTAAACATGTGTGCAAAATCTCTCGCCACAGGGGCGCCTCAAAGCAAAGCGCGATGCAAGCCCAAGCGATGCCTCCCAGAAACCGAAGGAACTCGTCAGCCGATGCGAGATGACGTGAGAGAAAACAAACTTTCTGAGTCATGTTCATGCTCCACCTGCACCAATACCAGCATGTACCACAAAGTCGCCCGGCTCGTATGACGCAAAAGAAAGGTGGCGCGATGTATAAATGAGCCTTGGTTCTTCTCCATTCACATGCCTTTAGATTGGCATTGCTACGCCACATTGTTCTCACAAGTTCCCCACATCTACACTCCAAAGGATTTGCGTCATATAGACCGCGTGGCGAATCGCATTCTGCCAGGGCACACGACTAGCTCGATCACTAAAAGGAATGACCGCAGGGTGGCCCATTCACCTTGCTTGCTGGTGCATCTGCAGGTGTCCTAGAGTCCTAGACGCGAAAAACAGCGAACATCAATCACAAACTTGATCATGTATATAATAGTTGCTTCACGCTGCAATGTCCCTTGCAAATGCCACTGGGCAACTTTTGGAATAGCATGGATGAGGGAAACATCGCAAGTGTCAAGGTTCCCCCACCCTACCGCCCAAAGGGAACCTAAATCTCTTTTGTCCCGAAGTTGGTGGAGTCAAAAAATTTTCAACAGAGAAGGAGTGCAGGGGACCTATTTATTTGAAACCCAAGGGTCACCAACCAAGCGAACACCCCTGCCTCAAATCTGTCACCTACCAAGTGACAAATATGAGCCAGCTCCTGGCAACAAACCAGGGTGGGCTGGGTGGGCTTCAAATGACCAAAGGGACCCGGCGCCTTCATCCTTGAGCCAAAATGGTACAAGGACGAAGTATAAACCACAACCACCAATTGACACAGCTACTGTTTCACTGCACCACGTTGTGGTTTCACGAAACATCGCAAGTGTCAAGGTTCCCCCACCCTACCGCCCAAAGGGAACCTAAATCTCTTTTGTCCCGAAGTTGGTGGAATTATTAAAATTTTCAACAGAAAGAAAGTGCAGGGGACCTATTTATTTGAAACCCAAGGGTCGCCAACCAAGCGAACACCCCTGCCTCAAATCTGCCTCCTACTTTCTTTCACCCTCCAAAACACTTCAGGCATTTACGGGTGGTAGGGTTGAGGTCATCCCCTTCATACACAAATTTACATGGCACGTCACCCAAGACCCATGGCCACCCGCACTTGGTCGTCCACTTCTTCGGGTCTTCCAAGATGGAAAAGGAGTGGCATGGTCGATGGACAGCACCGGAACTTAAATTGATGACAAACGACGGAAGTAGCGCTCTTCGAGCTTCCTTCCTCATCTCACTCTTCACTTCCTCGTTGTCAAAGTCAAATCCGTCATGACGCAACGAAGTGTGCACCAACTCCGCTTGCGCCTTGACCGCTTCCTCCAGGCAGTCCACTCGTCTCAAAGTGCCAGCAAGCGCTTCTGACAATTCGACTTCACTCTTGAGCTTCAGGGCCTGCTCTGGCGCGTCACCCCAAGCTTCTTCTATGTAGTCCCATGTCGCCTTGCTGCTATGGCGCGCATACCATTGTATGGTTGTACAGGCACAACCTTTTCTTGCCATGTCTTTCACCCCGGAGCGTCGCATGAAATGGCCGGTGATTGTTTCGACCGCTATACCGCTCTCCAAGACAATCATATTGGCCAGCTTAACCATCCTTTGAGCCTCCTCGATCATTTTTTCTTGCCGACATAAGCCGAAGCATTGCCCAGCTGACCAATAAGAGGTACAGTGCCTTCTGGAATCATCTCTCTGCTTTGTATGCCGAGCCTTATGCATTGCTCGCGAACCACTTCGGCCAGAGCATGAAAAGGGCAGCAAATATCAAAGCCTGACTTGCAGCTACAGCCTCAAGCACGCGCCGCGCCTCGACCAGCCACATCAGTCTTGCTGACTGGCAACCTCAAGGTAGCCACCTTTGACAAGGTGTCCAATTGCACACACTTCTTGTCCAAGGTAAGAGAAGCCAGCTCAACCTCCCGTAGCAAATACTTAGCGCCGATGATCCAAGTCAGAATCCCTGCGTTGGGCGCTCCATCCGCAGCTTCATTCTGATGTGGGACCCGGCCTAGCCTGGATGACAAAGTTGACCATAGCTCCAACTTGACTTCCCCCGCTCTATCCACTTGGCCAATAGTCCGCTGCGCCATACGCTTAGCGTCTTGCAGCGCGATCTGCAAGGCCGACGACCACACATAGCCAGCCCTGGAGCGCCTGTCTTTGGCCTCGTAGACATAGCTCTTCACGGCTCTGTATCCTGCACTGCGCAAGATAGCGGCATTCTCTCTAATCTGGTTCGGCGTCAAAGGAAGTGGCTCCTCCCCTTTGGCTCTGCAGATGTTGACCCAGGTGGTAGTGCTTCCTTCGCTAGAGTGGAACCTGACGCATTACACTAGCGCATCGTAGGCCTCCATGGCCTCTCGCCTCAATTCTGCACTGCCAGCAATCTGTATGGCCAATCTGGATTGCCCTCTACACTATTTACTTTGCGTCACATCAGGGGCCCACGGTGGGTCAAGCCTCGCTTTTGTCAGGGTTTCTCCGCTATAAAGGACAAGCCTCATACCGCTTCGATGAAACGCTTTCTCAATACCATCATCGACTTGCTCCTGCTTTGACTCACCAGCCACAGGATCAAACACAACCGCTCGATCCCTTTCCTTGACTACGTTCTGACCTATCACTAACGTTTGTAAAACCGTGCGCGAATTAGCAGGCCTGTCTCACGGCACGTGCTCTCGCCCCAACCAAGCTTTCGCCTAGCTGCAGCAACCGCTGGGGGCACTTCGTTTTCCTTCACGGAGCCAGTCGCCCATCGCTGCCTAGCTCCCCGCGGACAAAATGGGTTCTTCGTCCAGTGTTTGAGCATCTAGCCGTTGCAATATCCGTCGCAAAAGGTGATCCGAGGCCTCCCCTGCGGGGATACCTCCTCTCGCATACACAACTAGAGCACGCAAGGTGTCGAATACCTACTAAGTACTCGACTCTGCCCCAACTAAGGGGCCAGGAGACCTGCCCAACTAAGGCAGCCCCCCGGCCCTTCAGACAACGCTAATCTCCAATTGTGGATCTCAGACAACGCTGATCTTCAAATGACCAAAGCACTCGACCCGTAACGAAACTATGTACACCTCCAACCAAGAGAAACCTCCAACCAAGAGAACACCCCTTTTCCAAACAAGAACATCCAAACACCTCCAACAAAACCACAACAACCCAGTTTTGGCCCAAAGGTCCGTGACCCTTTACGCCTCCTGACTGGGTCGCCAAAACTCGCTCGCAGCCGTGTTTTCACCAGTCACTTGGCTTATTCGGCCAAGTCCGGTAAAAGTGCTGGGTCCGTCTCTGCGTGTCCAGACGAAGGACACGGTGAAGCTCAGAGGGAATCGCCTCCGTGTGAGGTCGACTCAGCTTGCCTGGGGACACGTTGAGCAGTCCTGGCAGGTGTTGTGCCACAATCGTGTGGATGCCTTGCGCTTCTAACTCCAACACCAACTCTGCTGTCAATTGCGCCATCAAAGGACTTGACGCACGATGGTTCATTGCTGCGTTCAGGGTTGCAGTGTTATCCCCTTTGAGGACCACTCGTGTAGCACCTGAGTCTGCAATGATCTTTGCACTACTGCGCAAACCCACAAGGACTGCCAACAGCTCGTACTCCGACTGAAATGATGGATCACCTGGCGTGGCATTGAACAGCATGTGATCGTCACTTGTAAGTGCACTGCTGAAGTATGCAATGATTTGCTTCTGCTGAATCAAAATGCCTCCCAAACCGTATGGTGAGGCATCTGTTTGCAACAACAAAGTCACTGCATATGCCTCCAGCGATGCACCTTGCTCAAGCCAACATTGCCATCAGTTAAGTGAAGTAGTCCCCTTAACCACCGTATGGCATTGGCTATCTGCTTGACGAAAATCAGTCCTTTACGCCGCCTCGTTGTGGCCTTGACAGGTTCCTTGTAGCCTGTAATGACTGACCACAAAATCGACAACCATGGCCTGGCTGCCGGTATAGCCGAAGACAGCCATCCCAGTACTCCGACTGAATACTGGAGGAGGTGCAAAGGGACAACTCCACGGCACTGTTCAAGCTGGTCAAACACCTGCAGCAGCTTCGCTCTCTTTGCATCTGCCAGCTCGACATGGAGGTCAAGATGCTCTGGGCCACAAACCTTGAACTTGAATCCAATCCATTGCAACTCTTGTCCACGATGTACCTTCTTCCAAGACACCTCAAGCCCCAAGCTCAACCAAAGCCCGGTGTAGTACAAGAGATGTCTTGTATGCTGCTGTGGAGTAGATGCCACAGAAACAATCAAAGGATCGTCAATGTAACAATTGATGTCTGATTCATAGTTCTTCAGAACAGCCTGACTCAAACGCATTGCAGCCGCGGCCACTCGAGACCACAGCAATGGTCCTGTGGCCAAACCAAACACCACGCAGTTGCATACGTAGTATCGAGGCCACCCGTCATCATCGTCCTGCCCTTCGATGATGACATACTGCCGCTCATTGGCCCGCAGCTGCAACATATTGAAGGCGTCCTTAAAATCTAGAGCCATCAACTCAACGTAGCTGTCAGGAAACCACGCCTGGTTATTTGAAATCAACTGCAAGAATCCTGTGGCCACATCGGACACCCTCGGCAATGTAACTCTTTCTCGACATGAGATGAGGCCATTCACGCCTGAACGACGCCCGTCGAAGATGAGTCTCGACTTGACCGCGCCATCCTCCTTCTCTTTCACAAGACATCCCACTTTTGTGAGCCTGGCTTTGTCACCAACTTCAGCAACAACCTCTTCCCAAGAGCGACACAGCTGGGCCCTGCCCTTGTCGAGCATCTCGTCCAAGAGTGGTTGTGCTTTGTCCACCTCCTGCACAAAACTGCGATAGTTTGTCAGATCACCAATGTGATCTTCCAATACAATGCCTTCCACCCTCGATGCTTCGACTGCTGCTGTGTCACCCATGGTGCTTGGGAAAACGCCCACATATTGTATGTCGCTTGCAATGCCCAAAGGAAAACCAGTCGCCATCCACTCCGGCAACACTGTCTTCTCTGGATCATCTGCTGCAACCAACATTGCTCGCCACAGGTCTATGGGCCATTTGTCTTGCGATGGCTGAGCCCCAAACTCCTCGAGGAGCATGCGTCTCAGCTGCGCCGTCCTGCTCCGAGATGCCCAGCTCCAAGTTCTCCTGTAGACCCTGAAGCAAGTTGTCAGTCATCCACGCATCCAACACTGTCCTTATCCTCTGCCCGACATTGCGCAGCAAAGTTGACCTTGCCACAGCCCGCTTCGCAAACCTGAGACCCCCAATGGCTTCGACATTCTCCCTTTCTCTTCTTTCTGCTATTGTCTCAACCTGGGGCTGCTCATTGACCGTTCTTTTCTGCGGCACGGTCTTGGTCAGCGTCAGCGTGTTCTTCCACCTCCCAACCTTGACATAGCTTCTGGCCTTCATCCACTCACGCCCTTCCTGTGAGTCCAACCATTCCAGCAATGCCCTGGTCCACGCGACTGTGAGGCCACATGGATACTCTGCAGCAAGTGATGTGCGCCAGACTAGCTTGTCCTCCAAGATAAGACCAGGTCATGCCCACCAAGCCACCTTTCAAATGATAATGTGCCTCAACCTCGTGACATAAGGCACATACCTTCTTCATCCAGCTGCTGGTGGTCAAAATGCCTGTCGCCTTCCTTGTGACAGCTTTCTATGGACACTGGTGCAACAAGATGAGCTCTGCATGCGGCACACGGAAGAGCTTGGCCATACACTTCAGCATCCAAATGAATGAATCCCAAGGGTTCTCGATGGACCAAGTTCTTCCCCTTTCCGTCAGCTTCAATACCAACAGAATCGTACGAGCAACAATCTTGTTCGCCTCCTCCGCCTCCGCGTCGCCCCAACCTTCGGGCTTTTCATCAGATCTCAAAATCTTCACCACTCCGCGCTCATCTGACCTTCTTGCCCTAGTGTAGGTTCGACAAGGGGGCGCCATGTGTCCACGGTCCAACGTTTCGCACAAATCCAGCCCTTGCTGCAGCCCTTCATCTGTCAAAATATCCCATCCCTCATAGCCATCTAAGGGACGAGACACCTTAACAGCCTCACCTCCAAGCTCCTCCATTGTTGCTGAGAAACCAGCATATCCAGCAAAGAATTTGCCAAAATGAAACGGCCGAATCTTCTCGACATCAACCACTAATTCTGTTTGTGCTGTCTGTAAATTCTCACATGCACTAGCTCGCAGCTCTGCCATCTCTGTCACAGCCACGAGCTTCTCCTCCTGTCACTTACCTCTGCCTTTCCCCTTCCCTTTCCCAGCGCCCTTCTCACTGGCCTTCGGGCACTGAGCATTGGGATGAGGCCCAAGACAGTACTGACAGCAATGCGATCTTCCCTGAGGGCATGGCTCCGAACAAGCACCAACAGCTCCCTTGGCGAATGCAAAACACACTTGACGACCATCACGGTCTGTCGGGAACTCCCGTCCTGCCCGCCTAGGATGTGTGTTGTCCGCTTGGCTGGGTTGCGAACCACCTGCACCTCCCTTCCTCCATGGAGCATCGGCGAGCCTCGCTGCTCCAGGGTCAGCCTGGAGCTGCTGGATCTTCACCTTGTCCCTCTGCCTGCGACGTGCTGCCTTGGATTGCCCTTCACCTGGAGGTCGATGCAATGCTTGCGAAGTAGCTTCAGAATACTGCGTGTCCTCAGCATCCTTCTTAGTCATGGACTTGCTCGCACCTCCACGGGCTAGAAACGTCTGCGCGGGGCGTATCACGACTCTGTCCCAGTACTCTTGGCATCGTGCTGCATATTGAAAGACACCAACCCAAGGTCTGGCCTGGTCGAAATCCAAATTCATTGGCAATCGACCTTCATTCTTTGCCCTAACGAGCTCCCGTTGGAATCTCTCAAATTGCTCTCCCCTGCACTGATCCTCAGCTTGCAAAATCAAATGCCAGGCCTCTGGAAATTCGTTGTTCAGCTCCACAATACGATTGTAGTATTCCTCCAATGCAGCAACCGTAACAATGGGTGTTGCAGGTGTCCTTGTGGTAGCATTTGCAGGGTGCTTCAACATGAGAAGAACAGTTCTGTAGATCTTCCAACAGGCACTCCACGCTAAGAAGGTTGGAGGGCCAGGAATCTCCACTGTCTTCCAAGTACCATCCTGCTGCAGAACGAAATTCCTTGCCTTGGCTTGCTTTTGCGTCCTGCGGCCAAAAGGTGTAAGAACAGAAAAGTCAGCGTATGGGGCTTCATGCCTTTTCAACACCTTTGTATGCATGGCCGTAATCTGCTCAACTGTGGGGTCTGCATCAACCAAAGGGTCAGCTCCAACTGCCTCCCTGAAATTTCTGTACGACTGCTCAATCTCACTGCCGTCCAACAAATCCACTTCTGACTCATCAAGTTGGTCGACTGCAGCGGACATCTTGACACGCTTGGTTGGAGAGCCAGTCGTATGAATCGAAGCAGGCGAAGCTGAAGCTGCTGCTGCAGCCCTTGGGCCAGTTGCAGGGTCTGGCAATAGAGGATCAATGTCAGGTAAGGCATAGGCTTGTCTCGAGATGCGCCACACCAACCCAATCTGAATGATCTCCACAGCCGTAAGAACCCGCTCTGGCAGCGTGGCTGTGGCTGGAATTCGCGCTCAGGTTGCAAAGTCGCGGCCGGCAAAGACGCCAGGACACGGAGATTGTCGACTCCGCCCAAACAATTTGACATCGCCAGCCAGGGAGCCTCGGCCAAGCCTACCCAATCCCGAACATCATCAATCGTGCGCAGGCCAGCCAACTCAACGTTTGTAGGCAGGAGCTGTCTTGCCATGGACCAAACCCCGAAAATCACCTGGACCTATCAACGAAGGCGACAAGCCGGGCCCTTCAGACAACGCTGATCTCCAACTGTGGATCTCAGACAACGCTGATCTCCACCTGTGGATCTCAGGCAACGCTGATCTTCAAATGACCAAAGGGAACCGGCGCCTTCATCCTTGAGCCAAAATGGTACAAGGACGAAGTATAAACCACAACCACCAATTGACACAGCTACTGTTTCACTGCACCACGTTGTGGTTTCACGAAAACACCAGAAAGCACAGCACTCGCAGGCAACATGGGAAAAGACTCTCACACAAAATAAGCATGCGTGACGTGTGCCTATGAAATTGCACAGGGCAGGCGCCAATCAAGAAGCCCGAGAAACTGAAAAAGATTGCTGTGCACAAAGACTGGAGAAGCAGTGCGAGTGCCAGCCCGCTTCGTCGCATTGCCTCAATTGCACACTTGGGACATTTCCGGTAGCACCACAAAATCACAACAGCTTTGGTCTTAAACTGCTCAGTTCAAACATGTTCAAACCTTCCTGAAGAAAGGTAAAACAAGTCTCGGCCAGCCGTGGCAGCCTGTTGCCAAGACACATAGCAACTTCCAGCATACTGCTGCTGAAGCTCCTGGCGAGCCGCCAGCAGCTGTAGAACGCCTCGGCTCCAGGCATTCAAAAAGGGGTGCGGTTAAACTTTGACTGCATTCTTTATATCTGGATTGGGGAGGGAACCAAAAAGAGTGGCACCCCTTGCTTGTTCTCTTTGTCTTCTACGACTCCAGGCCTTGCCTGCAATCTCCATCATCCAAGAGCACAGGCTGTGAGATGCAGATCCCGGACTTCGCGGACCATGCCAGCAGCAACGGCAAGCAACACCTGAACTCCACATTCTAAGCGAAAAGAATCCTGTCCTTGCCTTGGGGCAGAGACACTATGCCGTCACTATGCAAAGCAAAAGTTCTCCAACAAATTGAGTTCCCCAACGTTTAGTCACATTGTGCCATGTCACTCCCGAGACATGCAGCACTGAGAACCACTATGGCCCCACGCAGGCACCTGGCATGTGACTACGTCACCACATCATGATGTCATGTCACACTCAGCATTGGGAAAACCAATGCAGCAAGTTGAATAGGTACACGTGTGTAATTGATTTGGTAACATGCAAATTGTTCAGCCACATGCAAGTATCGTCACAGCGAAAACACTGTAAAGGGGCGATCTTGTACTATACAGCCTCGACGAGACTGAGTGGAGCTTCTCTCTAGCTCTCTGCTGTATTCAAAACACGAGGCCATTACTATTAGAAACAAAGACAAAAAGAAAAAGGAAGAAAGGTGTAATATTGTTTGCTTCTAGGAGCAAGGACGCTACTAGGGGCTCCTGAGGCTCCTGGCATCGCTACGAACGGAACAAGGAAGAAAGTTGAAGAAACGTCAATTTCGATGTCGGAATGAGCCTGTCGGATGTCACGGGCACGCGCATGGTTCCATGGCTCTACGGGAGCTGGCTGCAGTAAGCACCAACCGTTTGTGAGTTGTCCTCAGAGCATCAACAGAAAAGAAGTCTTTGTTATATACAGTTAAAAAGATTATATAATATATATATATAAATATAATTGTTTTAAAAGAAACGCTATTTCAATGTGGACTGTGATTGATGTATGGGTGCAACGGCGTAACTGATAGGCATGGGCTCCGCTTCACATGTCATTGCCGTCCTGTAAGCTGTCAAGAATCCACTTGCTGCAGGACGCCCTTCAGATGTCCAAGCAGGCTGATTTTGGGATATGGTAGAGACGGTGCATATATACCAAACAGCCTTTCTGAGTCAACTCTTTTTCTCTCTGGCCTGATGTGCGCTGATAGCGCGCTAAACTTCACTCAGCTCTACTCCGTCTGGGGGTAGAAGTGGTGGACTTTCACCCGGAGGTTCTCTTCAAGCTGCCCAGTCTTGTCCAAGCTGCTTTTCGTCTCAGCACAAGAGCAGAGCAAACCAAGACGAGAGATCTGATTGTTGCAACATGCCAGCACGAGTTCACACAAGTGAATGTGTCCGTTGTTTGCAGGCCAACCTCCAAAGCCCACTTTTCAATTAGGTCGACATGCTCAGTAATGCTCAGCTGCAGACCCACTTGTAAAGCGGGCTCTCAGGAAAGTGGTCATAGTTGTCGCCAACATATGGTGTGTGCGAATATCCCATCAAGAAGCCAAATCCTGGGCTGCAGCTCAATTGGCAACAAATGGTGCATGAAACCGCTGGCGACCAGGCTCCATGACACTTCGCTGCAGGCATTGGCAACATTTTGAACAAGCTGTGATTTCCATGCCTCTGAAATGATTAAAAATTCCCTCCTGCCCTTTTTGACCAATGGCGCCAAGAAACCAAGCAGGAAGGACACCAAGTAGTACCAGTAGAAGAAGCGAACCTCTCAGCTGTGAGACGGGCCAGTGCAGCAAATTGAATGCATCTTGTGCCTTGTCGCGTGTCCAGCGGGGGAAGAAGCGGAAGACCATATCCACGGGCAAATACGGCATGCTGTGACTGCTGGCCTGACCCATGCAGGTGCTTTCTTTATGGAGCCCCTAGTAGCGTCCTTGCTCCTACTAGTGATGCCAGGAGCCCCTAACTAGTAGCGTCCTCGCTCCTAGTAGTGCTGCCAGGAGCCCCTGCGTCCTCGCTCCTAGTAACTACTTATGGCAGTCAAATCCACGGTTTTCTTCACCCATCATTGTCTGCGTTTTGCTTGCGTCTGGCTGGCCAAAAAATGAAGGTCGAGCAAGGGTCCCGCGGGCTTTGCACGTTTTGGACTGTTTAGTTTCATGTGGGTTTTCTCTTGGAGTTTGCGTGCTGCATTCATACATCCAAATCCAACGTTTCTGGTATTCTGTCAGTTTGGTCACGTCTGCGGCTATTGTATAGTTCCAGTTCTATCCACATACAAGAATCAACACATGAATGAAATACTCGCATGACTCGCATACCTGCACATGGCATGCGTCATCTTATGCAAAGCATGAAGAGTAGAATGAGTAGAATGATACGAAGCATCGAACATTGAAACTTGCACTAAGTCCGCGCAACGCTAACGCAACATGAAAGAACATCGAACGTTGTACTCAGCTGTCACATGAAAGAACGTCGAACCATGTACTAAGTCCCACAACGCAACATGTAAGAACATAGATATTGCAAATGGCCCCGCAACATGACACGCCACAACTCCAGAAACCCTCACCAAAAAGAAAGCCACAGGAACCGTCACCAAAAAGAAGGCTCGATGTTAGTATGGCCAAGGAATTGTCTCTCTTGTGGTTTTCGGCTGTCACACCCTGGAGTCCTTAAACCCTGGAAGGTTGACCTCCCAGCAGTCTCTCTTGTTCATTTTCAGTCAACTAGGGTCTCCATGGTTTTCCCACAGCCACTTGAGCAACCACCCCAACTAGGCCAATATTTGGCCTTTGTGGGCCTGCGTCAAGCTCTGAGGCAACTTAGGCACAGCACAGTTGGCCATGCGGCTTGCTGCACGGGCAGCCGCGGCACGCAGCAACGCCATGGGTGGAACCGGCAGCCGTTCAGAATCCAAGTGGACCCGTCACTGGCAGCTAAATGGCGGCAACGTTTATAAGTACGGCAGTCAAGAAAAGCAAAAAGCATTGTCAGACTGCAATGCAAACGATAAGATGCATTGAAAGCTTTCCAATTTCATTATCACTGGATAAAGACACAAAAAAAGAGGATGTAGGCATCTAGGCCTCTACGCACAGTGCTTCTCTCCTCTTTCTCTGGCACTGCCACCAGGTACAAACTCCATTCTTGCGAAGCATCGGTCTGAACACAATGGATTGCTCAACAAGTCAACTCAGCTCTACTCCGTCTGGGGGTAGAAGTGGTGGACTTTCACCCGGAGGTTCTCTTCAAGCTGCCCAGTCTTGTCCAAGCTGCTTTTCGTCTCAGCACGAGAGCAGAGCAAACCAAGACGAGAGATCTGATTGTTGCAACATGCCAGCACGAGTTCACACAAGTGAATGTGTCCGTTGTTTGCAGGCCAACCTCCAAAGCCCACTTTTCAATTAGGTCGACATGCTCAGTAATGCTCAGCTGCAGACCCACTTGTAAAGCGGGCTCTCAGGAAAGTGGTCATAGTTGTCGCCAACATATGGTGTGTGCGAATATCCCATCAAGAAGCCAAATCCTGGGCTGCAGCTCGAGTGGCAACAAATGGCGCATGAAACCGCTGGCGACCAGGCTCCATGACACTTCGCTGCAGGCATTGGCAACATTTTGAACAAGCTGTGATTTCCATGCCTCTGAAATGAAAAAAAATCCCCTCCTGGCCATTGTAACCAATGGCGCCAAGAAACCAAGCAGGAAGGACACCAAGTAGTACCAGTAGAAGAAGCGAACCTCAGAAAATGGAGAGACAAAAGAAACCATAGTAGTGGGCAATTGGCCAATTGGCACCCAAAAACCATCTACCCCAGCTTCAGTACTTGCGCCATGCTGCCATGCTGTTCAAAACAGCTGGGACATAAAGAGAGACGTGGTGGCTTTGCTTTACTTGAATCGGGTGCAAATGTTGAGACTATATATACATGCCACAATGAACTGAGGCCTGTGCCAAACTGCTGCCCCGAACAAGTTTTTTTACAAAAGGCGGTTCCAATTGAAGTTGTGCACATGCAGCATGCATCTCGCTCTGCCTTGTCTCGGGTCCAGCGTGGGAAGAAACGGAAGACCATGTCCACGGGTAGGTATGGCATACTCTCGCCGCTCGCCTGACAGACATTTCACCAAGGTGTGAACTACAATTTGCAATTATATAGCCAACTACAGCGATCGATTATATATATAATTTATTTCATTTATGCAACTTTTGCTAAACGCGATGCGCAACATGCGGTGAAAGGCAGAACTTGAAAAGACAAGCCCAAGAGGATGACTGAGACCTGAGACCAAATGCTACGAAACACCATAGCAAAGTTGCTTGGAAATAAGAATCTTTGAAGTCCAACGAATTGAGAGGGAATGCGGTGAAATCAATCCCGAAGGCGGGGGTCATTGGTGAGGTGGGCAGGATCCATACGGATCTCTTCCCCTGGAATTGTGTGCATATTGGATGAGAAAGTTGAGGTGAGAACAGGACGTCGGGGCCCCTGTCGGTAGCCTTCAGCTCGCCATGCATATTAGGCCCTCCAAAACAGAACAGGGACGAATCATTTCAACTGGCCTTGGCCTCTGTGGCCAAGTGCACTCTGATAGAAAGTATCCTCTTTCGTGTTGCTACACACTTCGTGGGTACATGGGTTGGGGGTCGGAGAAGCTCTGCGGGCATCTGCTTTACTTGGACCGTGAAGATGCAAATCCAGGTTTCTACTTTGTATGGTGCATTGCCACCTCTAAACAGCATAGTGCCCTGAAGCTTCAAGTGCCTGCGTGAGGCATGGGGGCAGCTTGGGAACTGTTGCCCGGGACACGCGTGCAAGGGCTGCGCGGAGCAACACCATGGCGGTCCAAAATGCGCAGCGGCTTTAAGGCAACAGGTTTGAAATCCAAACAAGCTTCAGCAGCTGCAGGTCACGCACGCCCCATACCCTTCTGAACAACATATATAATGATTCAAAAAGATTGAGCTCTGATCACCATTGGTCAGAATTGAGAACTGCAAGTCCTGTCTAAGTCTAAGTGTACTGTACTCGCTCGCTAAATGTTTTCCCGCCCCTTTGTGTCTCATCGTCTCCCTGCCAGCCTGAAGGTCTCGCCTGGGTGCCACCGTCCCTGCCGATCGGAGACCAAAAAAAGAGGGCAAATCGCTCGGTTCAGAACACTTGTGGCCCAGAGGAGGGTGGCGAAAGCTAGGCAAAGAAACAACGCTGGGGCTCTTTTTAGGCAGCAAAAGAATGGCCGGAAATCGCAACATGCCATGGCCAAGGGAAAAGGAGAGTGCCAACAGCACCCCCCCAATACGACCCCAACACAGCCAACACATGGCAACACACAACCACCCCAGCAACCGCAGCAGCAGCAGCAGCAGCAGCAACAGCCACAACAACAATAACTGTAACCAGCAGTGGCAGCGGCAGCAGGCAGAAGCTACCAACCAGCAGCAGAAGCAGCAGCAGGAGTAGCTAGCAAGCAGCAGCACCAGCTACCAAGCAGCAGCAGCTGCTAAGCAGCAGCAGCAGCTACCAAGCAGTAGCAGCAACAGCTACCAAGCAACAGCAGCAGCAGCAGCAGCTACCAAGCAGTAGCAGCAACAGCTACCAAGCAACAGCAGCAGCAGCAGCAGCTACCAAGCAGTAGCAGCAGCAGCTACCAAGCAACAGCAGCAGCAGCTACCAAGCAACAGCAGCAGCAGCAGCAGCAGCTACCAAGCAGCAGCTACCAAGCAGCAGCTACCAAGCAG